CTTCCAGGCAGAGGGCGTGTGGCGGAAGCGCTTGCAGGCATTGAAAATGGCTGCCAGCACATGGCAGTGGGGGTCCTGACGCTTGAGAAGGCCGTAGCGGATGGCGTCTTTACCTGGGGCGGTGTTCTTTGTCCGGCGCAGTCTTGCCTCCACTTCTTCGGCGGTGAATTCTCTTCCCAGGTACAGGTCAGGCTCAACTCTGGGCAGTGGAGGGAGGTCGCCAGGGCATTGGGCTTCACGTCTGTCGTCTTGGTCGAAGATGCTAGTGAAGAAGCGGTGGAGGTCTTCGCCAGAAATGGTGCAGAAGGGGGAGGGGCCCTCGAGGACCTCTCGTACAGCCTTGGCTCTATTGGCCCGGTAGATCTTCTGGATGCGGGACGCGGCCCTGGGGTCATAGCCACGGGCCGGGTTCCGCCTCCTGCCCCCGGCTCGGCGGTCGGGGGGGCAGGGTGCCAGGGCAGCACTGGGGGCAGGATTGGTGGGCCCACCCCTCACTGTCCTCGGCAAGCCGGCTGCCTCTGAGAGCTCTGTTGTGAACTCCTGGACAGCCAGCTCCAGGCCCTCAAAGGTGTCGGCCCCCTCCATACGCTTCATCCACTCGGCTTGCCATGGCGTGGGTGCCTTGGCCTCCTCTTGACTGTTCGGGGTGGGCTGGGATGGCTGGGCTGGGGAAGGTGGTTGTTGCGCAGGCATTGCAGGCCGTGTGGGAGCTGTCGTTGGGCTTGGGCGTGGACTCGGCTGCAGGGGCGTCGGTCCAGGTGGCCGGTCTGGGGGACGGCTCGCGGGGGCAGGCACGGCATTAGTTCTGGCGGGAGGGGGCCCGCCAGGCGGGGAGCTCACCTGCGAGGTCGCTGGCCGGGCTTTGGTCTTGCGCCGTCTCTTCGGGACCTCCGTCTGTCTCGCTGCTGGGTCAGAGTTGGCGGTCAGCGTGGCGAAGACAGGCAGGCGGGGTGGCTGGTGGGCTGGAGCCTTCTCTACCTGGGGGCTTGGAGGGTGAGGGTTCGGCGCATCGGTGGAGGGGGTCGCAGGCTCGGGGGAGCCTAGCCGCAGGATCTGGTGGAGGGCGAAGCGGTTGGCCTCTTCCAGGTCTTCGGGCGCGGTGGTGGGCGTCTGCGAGCCTTGGAACCTCAGGTCACAGGAGCGATGGTGGAGGATGACGTCTTTAAGGACCTTGAAGGTGATCTCACAGTCTGCGCAGGCAAATAGGACTTCCCTGGTGTGGATGCGCTTGAAGTGCCTGGCCACGCCTTGGATGGTCAGATACTTGTTGTAGAGCTTGCAGGGTACACAGCCGAAGGGGCCTGTCTGTGGATATTTAATCCGCATGGGTCTGGATGGAGCCGCCTTCTCTCTTGGGTCTGGGGAGCAGGACAGCAGGGTCCCCTCTGGCTCCCTCCCAGCAGGCTCAGGAAACCCCTGCCGTGAGGTGGAGTCCCCACTGGGTGGCGGTAGGGAGTCAGTCTGCTCAGCATGGCCGGAGGACTTCTCCCGGGAGGCGGGAGCCCCGCTGGGCAGAGGCTGAGAGGTGACCAACCCAGTGCACCCGGGGGGCATTAGCAGTGGGGCAGGGTCTCCGTTGGGCAGGGGCTGGGAGGCAGCCATCCTGTCTCGCCAGGGGGAGGGCCAGCACGAGGCAGGGGCCCACGTGGGCACGGGCCGGGAGGCAGCAGCGCCAGCATGTCTGGGGGGTGTCCCCAGTGAGGCAGGAACTCTGCAGGGTGGAGGCTGGGAGGAGCGGAGCCGGTGGAGCGCGCGGCGAGGGCGCACCCTCTTCTCTGGGGCTCAGGTCCTGCAGCATCCTCATCGTCTCTTCCAGGAGCGCCTTTTCTGCAGCCATGGCAGAAGAAGCTGGAGGGTCGCCCTAGTGGGGGAGGAGGAAAGGGAAAAATGGCCCCAGCAGCAGCTGCGACGGCAGCACGTGTCCAGAGGGATAAGAACAGATTGACTTTTATTTAGAGAATGTTTACATTACAATCATTGATGTCATGTAGCAAATACAAGTAAACTCCGGAAAACGGAGGTGCATGCATGTCATACGAAAAACAATAAACAGGCTTAATACGTGATACTTTGGCATGCACTGTGCGTCCCGTGACTCGGAGGGGGCTGGGGGTCTGTAGGATAATAGTCCATGGTAGGAGAGCAGGGCAGAGCCCCGGTCTCAGAGCAGGGCAGAGCCCCTGTCTCACCATCGTGGCGGCCAGCCATGCATAGAGGTTAAAAGTCCATAGGGACATAGTCCATGGTAGGAGAGCAGGGCAAAGCTCTGGTCTCCCCATCGTGGCGGCTATGCTTGATCTTAGCCATAAGGCTGAGAAGCAACAAACAAAAAATTTGGAAAATTTTATTTCCTACCAACTTGATATACTTCAAGGGCTCAGAGAGCAACGCCACAGCCTGAGCTGCCCAACGCCTCGGCCAGCTCCGCCGTGGTTTCCAGATCTCTTATTGCATTCCGAAATGTCTGCTCTTTCTGCCTTCCAGGAAATCATCCTTCTCAAACACAGTCCGATGTCAACATTTGTAGATTCTCTCCGCTTGGTCCCTTTCGCCATTTCGAAAGCCGGGGCTCTGGCAGCCATTGGCCCGTGATCTGCATAAGCCCACCTCCTTTCCCCCGTGATGCCCTGCAGTTTTCTTAATCTTAACCACTTAGATTCAGGGCGGATGCTCAGAGGTTTCCCTTTCTGTATTCTCCTGGCTCCTCTTTCAGCTCCTGGAGCGATTGCTGAAGGGAGCAGAACTTTTCAGTGGAAAAGAGCAAGACTCCAGGAGCACCTTAAAGACTCACGAAATTGGGGTCAGGGGGTCAGCATTCTTGTGAAAAAAGCAAGAGTTCAAGAGCACCTTAAAGACTAACAAAATGTGTGTGGGTGGGGTCTCCCTCTCCTCTTCCACCTCCTCCTGGACCAGGGGCCTGACTGTCCATCTTTTTGCATGGGGTTTAAGGAGCAGCAAAGATCTGGCTGGCAGAGTGTCTCCCTCCCTCCCTCGGGTGATAGAAAAAAAGGGTGTTTAGCAGAGATAAGATAGTCCAGCAGAGCCAGAGTAAAATAATTCAGACTGAGAGTCCAT